TGTGTCTGTTGGCCATCTGGATGTCCTCTTTGGAGAAGTGTCTGTTCATGTCTTCTGCCCATTTCTTCACTGGGTTGTTTGTTTTTCGGGCGTGTAGTTTGGTGAGTTCCTTATAGATTCTGGATATTAACCCTTTATCTGATATGCCATTTGCAACTATCTTTTCCCATTCCGTTGGTTGTATGGCAACATGTTTTAAATGACCTGTGACTAGGGTGACATTCTCAGGACATGGAACTTTTGGTGTTGCCCAAGAAAATTCTGGGCAATACAAGTTAATAAAACTTATTAAAATTAATCACGGGGCACCTAGGTGGCTCAGTCAGTTAAGAGGTTAAGCCTCCAACTTTGGCTCAGGTCCGTGACCCAGCCGTTCACGAGTTCAAGCCCCATTTCAGTTCTGTGCTAACAACTCAGGGCCTGGAGCCTACAGAATCTGTCTCTCCCTGTCTTTCTGCCCATCCCCCACTCATTATTTGTCTCCCTCTCCCTCAAAGATAAATAAACAAAAAAAAATTAAAATGTAGTTTGATACACCTGACAGACACACACACACACACACACACACACACAAGAATTTTTAAAAAAAACAGTGTACACAATTTTCTAAAATTATAATGTTTATCTTTGAAAGAGAGAGACAAACAGAGTATGAACAGGGAAGGGGCAGAGAGAGCGAGAGACACAGAGTCCAAAGCAGGTTCCAGTCTCTGAGCTGTGGGCACAAAGCCAATGCTGGGCTCGAACTCGGGAATAGAGAGATCATGACCAGAACCGAAGTTGGAGGCTTAACATTTTAACCGACTGAGTCACCCAGGTGCCCCTGATCACAATTTTTTAAAAACAACAAATTCTATTGTAATAACTAATTTTCGGTTTGGAACTATATTAGTATGCTATGATTAAATACTCATTTTTAAAAATCACTGAGGATTTGAGTATAAGCATTATAAGATTTTTCATAAAAGAGTAACTTTCTTCATTTCTTTAGTCAGGCAGCTCTTAAAACAATTAGAAAAGTCTGTTCTCATGTAGGTCAACTACAAGTACTTATTTGATAGAAAATTCACCTTCTCTTATTTGTATCACAATTACACCTATTCTGAAATTCCTTAAAGACCTTGAAAATATAATACAGCTTTAAGAAGGGAGATATTTCTCTGCTGTTCTTGCAGTTATTCTAAATAGTAAAGTAAACTGAAGTAGTCAATAAAGTGGTTTGTCACTTACATTTTTCCCTTGTGTTTCCACAAGTGTCTAAAGATTGACAACAGTCTCATCAAAGTGTATTGCTTTTTAGATACCCATTGTCACTGTCATTATTATTCTACCATAATGTAGAATAATACCAAATGTGTTTGAAAATAACTTGTCAGTAATTTAGTGAATTTAATAATATTATCAGCATATCGTCTTTTATTGTGCAGCTCACAGTTAACTGTGAGGGACTATTTAACTGATTACACCTTTTTGTATTCCCAGTTACAACAAAATAATAATAAATATTTATATGTCACAGCTATTTGGTTGCACTAACTCACAGATATCCTCTTCTCCCTTATCTATTTGCACCTATCCATATATATACCTAAACTAGGATGTTACCTTCTTCCAGCATATGGTTTTAACATTGTATCCAAAGAGCAAGGAGGAATACTTGAGAAATGTAATCTTACACTTAATATTCATTAAAATTTATCTTCTGAATGTTTAAGTCTCCAAATGTACATCTGGTCTTTGGCTAATATCAAACATTAGATGCAAAGAATAAGAAACATTATCAAGGGGCTCCTGGGTGGCTCAGTCAGTTAAGCATCCAACTCTTGATTTTGGCTCAGGTCATGATCTCATGGTTCGTGGGACTGAGCCCTGCGTCAATTTCTGCACTGACAGTGCCGAGCCTGCCTGGGATTCTCTCCCTCTCTTTCTGTCTCTCCTGTGTGCAAGCACAAGCATGTGCTTTGCTCTTTCTCAAAAATAAGTAAATATGAAAAAAAATTTAAAAGGAAACATTATCAAATTTATGTATTTAGTATTATCAGTAGGAAATAACATTCCACAAGTAAAAGTATTGAAGAGATAGAAATTTGGAAAAGTATAATGTGAACAAGCTTATCAATGGCCTTTGGCTTAATTACTGTTTCAATATGTAAGTTATCCATAATTAGTTCAACTGTGACTGCTACAAATGTATATAACATTTTTCTTTTTCTTGTTAATATAAACATACAGATTTTTTACATGTTTTTAAATTTATTTCTATCAAAATTTCATTTAACTGGGCTTTTATTAAGATAGGAAAGTTACAAGTATTAGTATATATTAATTATAATCATTTTTCCCTACTGGAATTTGGAAAATATGTATATATCAGGGACATACTTACTATTTAAGATTAACATACTACCTCTTTGGTATGATTTTTAAAATAAGCATAATATTCATTACTGTTCTTTATAACATTTAAATCATTCAGATTTTTGTGTTGTTTATTCCTATGAAACTTGTCAAAAAATATGCCCTTAAATACGTGGATATCTGTTCATGATGTTTTTGTCTAAAGGGAACACAGGAAACACAAAATAAAGTTAATAATACAACAGGTAATAATTTAGACTCTAACAGGTACAGTACTACACTTCATCTGGAGTATCTGACTAGCTTTGATTAATAATAATAATAATAATAATAGCCATTTATCAAGTGCTTACATCATATTGAGTAGATTTCTAAGTCTTATGACACTATCAGTGCAACAGATACTATAATAACCCCTAGTTTACAGATGGTAAGTCTGAGGCTTTGTCTAAGATCACATGATCAAGAAGTTGGTAGAATGAAGCCTGAAATCAAACCTGGGTTTGGCTGCTTGCCCTGGGTCTGAACTATAAAACAATAGTTCAGAAGCTCTTAAAGAATATATAAGAAATAGCAAATAGGTTCTTCATGCTAGAGCACATGGTGGAAAATATATGCAGTTTTGTGGGTGTCTACAAGAATGGGGAACAGACATTGTATTAGTCTACTTCAACTCTTATACACACATACAAGACATCTGGTTAATTACTGAGAATACGAAGATGAGTTAAACACAATCTTTGCCCTCTCCCTTGCCTAAAAATTCATAAAGCCCTGTAATCAGTTCTTACAATGCTCTCTAATGAAGGCAGTATTAGTCTCTTGCTTGTAGACTGTGGATCACAGAAAGAAGGATTACTGGGAAGAATATGGAAACAGTGCAAAGAAAAATCAATGATAAACTTCATTTAGAGAATAAATATTGAAGAAAAAATTAGTACCATGTGATAAAATGTTAATAGCCTTTGAATATATAAAGTACACTTCATTTGTTTGTAAAAAATAATTATCAAGAAAAAAACAAGCTAAAAATGTGAACAGCATGAATATAAATTCAATGGATAAGAAATTATTTACAGGCACGTGTGGGGCTCAGTCGGTTAAACGTTGGCTCTTGGTTTCAGCTAAGGTCATGATGTCACCATTCGTGAGACTGAGCCTAGAGTCGGGTTCTGCACTGACAGCCTGGAGCCTGCTTGGGATTCTCCCTCACCGTCTCTCTCTGTTCCTTCCCTGCTCCTGCTCTTTCTCACTCTCACTCTCAAAATAAATAGTCATTAAAGTAGGAATTATTTAGAGTTTAATCTAACTAAGAACAAACATCCAATTAAAACAATGAAATACCATTTTTGCCCATCAAATTCTTAAAATCTGATGACATTCATTTGGAAATGGACAACATGTAAACAGCTGCTAGGAATACACATTTTGTCAAAAATGTGTTAGAAGTCTCTAGAAATGTGTCTTAAACTGATGGATCATCTGTTTCAGCAATTCTGCCTCTATGAATACCTCTAAGTAACAATTATAATTATACAAAATGACTTAGTTATAAAGCATATTTACCATAACATAATTTCTAATATTAGCAACAACGACAACAAAAGCTGGAAAAAAAACCCCAAAAACCCAAAATCTCCAAAGTACTCCAAAATAGTGGTAAAACAGGTCATGAGCATAATTTTATTATAAT